TTTTTAATCTTTCTGGACCAGGGAGATGGCTCAGTAGAATAAGTGCTTCCCTGGCAAGCTCAAGGGGCTGAGTTCAATCCCCAGTTCCAACAACAACAAAAAAAAAAAACTGACCTTTCTGAAGAGTTCAAGCAAATTGTCCCTCGAGACAGCTGTTCTCTCACGTTCTGGATCTCTATGAATGTGTCCTGCAGGCACCAAGTTAACCAGGAGTGAGGTCTGAATGCTGGATCCTGCATAATCAGGGACGCCGCCTCGGTGCTGACCTGATATCTGCTGGTCCTGCCTGCTTTAGTGAGACTCTGACCATTGCAGACACTGTCACCACCACACAGCTGTGCTGCAAAAGTTACGGTTCACATCGTACAACCACGAAGTAAGCTGTGGGGTTGTTTCTTGTTGTTCTCATTTAGAGTGTTTAAATTAAGATGTAATTTACATACAGTATGATTCACTTTTTTTAGTGTATCTTTTTCCTTTTATTTATGTAGTGGTACTGAGAATTGAACCCAAGGCTTTCCAGTGAGTTACATCTCCTACCCTTTTTCATTTTTTGAGACAGGAACTTGCTAAATTACTAAATTCTCCAGGCTGGGTTTGAACTTGTGATTTTCCTGCCTCAGCCTGCTAGATTGCTGGGATTATAGGCCTGAACCACACCTGGCTTCAGAGTGTGACTTTTTTTTGATGGAACCGGGAATTGAACTCAGGTGCTTACGCTTGCCAGGCAAGTGCTTATTCCACTGAACTATCTCCCCGGCTCCAAGAGTGTGACTTTTGACAAATGTATAGCGCAGCTGTTGCAATAAGGAGATAAGAGCTGGGCATGGTGGCAGACACTTATAATCCCAGCACTCACAAGGCTGAGGCTGGAGTATCATCATGAGTTGGGGGCTAGCCAGAATACATAATGAGTTCAAGAGCAGCCTGAACTGCATAGCAAGACCCTGTCTCAAGAAACAAAAAGCAGTGAGCAGAATAAGGATTTCAAGGAGGGGGCAGGGAGGGCAGAGCACTGCTCCTCACGGAGGGGCCACAAGCTTTGGTTGTGCCATTCCAGAGCTCTTCCATGCATCCTGCACCTGCAGTTAGCACTGCACAACACAGCAGCGCTTGCCTGGCAAACGCAAAGGCCTGAGTTCAATCCCCGGTCCCGCAAAAAATAAAAATAAAAATAAAAAAATAA